GGAGGGTGAAGAGGGGCAAGGCAGTAGGTTTTTACAATGGAAAACTATACAGCAATGAAAATGAATAGCTAGTTACACAGAACAACCATGGATGAATCTCACAACCATACTGTGGACTGAAATACGACATGCTATATGATTCCACCTATATACGGTTCAAAAACCAGGCAAAACTAAGCCATAAGGGTTAAGGACATAGCATAGGTTGTAAAACTATAATGCAAAGCAAGAAAGTAATTACCATAAAAATCAGATTATCTTCAGGGAGGATATCTTTGGGAGTAAAAATTGGGAGGGGGCAGAAGAGGGAGTTCTCGGGTGCTGGGAGTATCCTACTTTTTGACCTGGGTGGTGGTCACATGGGTGTTTGCAGTAATACGTGCAGCTATACATTTTAGTTCTTTGTACCTTTCTGTGTGTGCACAATTGTAAGTGAAGCGGGGAGTGAAAGAGAGAGAGACAACAACATAACAGAAGGTCTGAGCACAGGCAGTTACAGGAGGAAAGAGAACTTCCTCGGGTGACTCACTGTGCTTCTCTCCATTCTGAAAGGCTTGTTTTCTCCATATTAGCATCTCTGAAACCATGGTGCACCCTGCCATCAATGGCATCTTAGATGTGATGAAATGTGGTTATTTCTGGGCCCCTCCCCACCCTGGCTGCCTCCCTCTGTTTGGCCTCTGACCCTCCAGAGCAATGCCATGCTAACAGAGTTGTGGCCGCAGCAGGCCACGCGCCCACAGTTGGTCAGGAGTGAAAAGGGAATGAGTGAGTGAGTGAGAGGTGAGAAGGGAAGAAAGGTGTGGTTGGCTCCAGCGCAGGGCTGGCCATGCAGGAAGGTGGGGAGGGAGCTGGCTCCTAGCCCTGCTCCACCCACTGCTGCCTCCGTGTGTTGTGTCCCTTGGTGACCTGGCCGGCCTCACGCTTGTCTGCGTGGGTTAGGAGGTGGAAGGACAATCTCAGGGTGGACTTTGAAGGAAAGAAGTGCCCAGGAGCCTATGAACCAGATCCGGCCAGGCTTCTTTCAGACCCAGAACCCCGGGGGGAGCCCAATATCCAAACTGAAAGATGCTTTCAGCTTCAATTTAGCGCAGACGAGAGTCGAGTTATGCGGCTATAAAGGGAGGTGTCAGAAGTGGGAGAGGTTCAGGTTAGATTTCAGAGGGACCTCCTGATGGCAACTGTGGTGCCATGAAATGCCTGCTCGATACAAATACTGCGATCCCCTTCCCTGGAGACTCTGAATATTCAACGATCTGATGTCTGGGAGGCTTCACTGCGATGTGCGGGGCGAGCCAATGGGCACACGGGCCTTAGCTGCATTACCTCATTAAATCACCCCCGAAGTCTGAGAAGTAGGCACTATTTTGTTATTTCCATTTTAAACTGAGGAAGCTAAGGATGGAAGACATGAAACAACATATTGCCGAGGTCGCCCAGCTTGTTTGTGGGGAGTGCAGGACTCGACCTCTCCCACGGGGGTGCACTTCACCACCAGATGGCACTGCCTCCTCGTGGGAGGCTCCCTGCCGTCCTGAGGAGGGTCTGTCATTTTCTGGTCCATTCTCTCTCTCTTTTTCAAGGGAGAATTGTCGACTTCCAGAGAGCTGCCGCCTGTGCCCTTCCCTCCCAACTCCAGAGAAGTTCCTCCAAATGTGAGAGCAGCTGCCACGGCTCAGTGGCTTACCACTATCTCATCTGACTCCTCTTCTCGCCCTTGGCCCTGAGCCTTTCCAGTTGTGCTAAAAGTAGCACTGACTGAATCGCGGTCTGTCCAGGGGCCAGGACTATTTTGACTCTGTCCTCAGGAATCATCTAGTCCAAGGCATGTACCAGCTGGACTGCTCCCATGAGCACCCAGATGTGGTGCCAGGAATGTTCTGGCCGACACTCCTGTCCCCAAAGCTGGGCCAAATGCTGCTGCTCACCCCATGGCCTCCACCCCATGCCTCCTGAGACGCTGATCCCAGGCGGGGTGGGTGGCGGGAGTTGCACGAGGGAGGATAAAAGGTTTATATCCTATCCATAAGAGAACAACCTGCCACTCTGGGTGACATGGCCTCTTATCCCTCTGCATTAAATGGGAACATGTTAATCTATGGATTTATGACATCATTCGGAAGGGAGGCCACACGAGAAGCCTCCTTAGAGACAGCAAACATCATCCTTCTGTGAGAGGCTGAAGGATTTCCTTCTCTCGAGGTCTTTAATAGTGGAAGAGATTTACATCGGACTGACAGAAATACAAGTCCTGTTCCTGTGCAAGCTGCTGCCTGGAATGCCCATCCCCTCTTTTACTAATGGCTTGGCCACTCTTCAAAGTCCCCCTGAAGTCCCACCTCCTTGGGGACGTCTTCTCTACCAGTGCAGCCCACCCTTCTATTACCACCCAGTGGACCCTCCACACCGCTCTTTCATAGAGGGTTTGTCCCTTTGTCTGCAGGCTTTCCCTCTAAGCTGTGAGCTCTTATGACCAGGTATCTTTCAGGTATCTTGTGGGCATCCAGCGTGCAGTAGATCCCCAGCATTTGTGGGTTGAGGAGCCAGCACGCATGGCAAGGCCAGCCCTGCTCTGCTCAGGAAACAAGTCCGCCATCTACTTGTGTTGGTTCACTCATCTGTTCCATACACGAACATTGAACATCTCTCTGCCTCTTACTGGTCTGGACACTAGAGATACAATGTCTGATAAGACTGAGTCCCTGCCTGAGAGCAGCTTGCAGTACAGTGGGGAGACATACATTACCATAGAATGGGCTAAATGCAATTCTTCAGATGCAGTGGGGACTGACTTTGCCCCCGGGAGCTGGGAAAGTCATCGCAGAGGATTTGACCTGTGACAGGTCGCAGAAGCTCAGAAATGCATGCAGTGGAAAAGTGGGAGAAAGAGCATTTCAGTGGAGGGAACAGCCTGTGCAAAGGTGTGAAGACATAAAAGAGCCTGTTGGGGCCAGGGAAGGCCAAAAAGTTGCGATATTTTTACTGTGTTCTCAGACTGCCTGTGGAAAGGAGGCTGCTTGCAACTTCTCATGGCGAGGGAGATTGGAACTCCATGGAGTCGGGGGGCAGGGCTTGGGCACCACCCCTTCCCAGAAGGTGTCAGAACACACAGAGCCTCTGTTCCTCTGCCCCTTGGGGCCTGCAGTTTCTCCTCCCAGCCTCCCTCTGCTCCTTCCCAATTAGAATGAAACTGGCTCCTGTGACACTATGGTGCTTTCCTTCTTGTTAGAAGCTTAATATTGTATGAATCACAAGTCCCGGCTGCCCGGGCACAGTGGTCAGGGTCAGAGGTGTGAATTAAAACAACACATGATCCTGATTGCTTCAGTCAGGGGACACTGAGGCCAATTGAAGAGGTTGCTTTCCTTTCTCACTGATAATGAGAGGAGTACCAAGGCTGTTGATCTCAGCTCCTTCCTTAGAGAGCTTCAAGCACCTTGCCGATGTCATCCCATAATAATTTGATGAGCCACCTCTTATGGAGCACTTTACAAGTCTAATTTCATTTAATCATTAGATGACTTTACAATGTAGTGTTAAGTGACATGCCTGAGATCTCATGGCTCATCATGAGAGAGCCAGAATTTGAGTCCTTGTCCTTGGGCCTTCAGAAAGCCCAAGCAGCACTTTGGAATACCACCTCAGTCATGAGGAAGGATACTGGCCTGAGGATGCTGGATGCTTTGCTCTCTACCCTAAGAGCCCCCAGATCTCCCCTAGCTTCCAGAGCCAGGCCTGACCATTCAGACTCCCATCACACCTTTATTGCATGCGTGCTGGGTGCCAGGTCTTGTGCAGAGCCTGGGAAAGACACGAAGACTCCCAGACCCAGTTCTCAAGTGACTCACCACCCAGTGGGATCCGGAAGGACCCCCTTCCCACTGCCACCCCAAACTTTCCCATTCAGTGTGACCTGTTCAGCCTTCCCTGCATTCTGGCCAAAACCCATTTCTCCTTCTTCTAAGCTTCTCTAGGGCTCATTACCCAAACCACAGCACCTATTGCTTCATTTCTGCTTTCTTTCACTCAGCAGTCATTTGTGCATCATTTGCATGTGGAAGGCACTGGGGATACATTAATGAGACAAATTAATAAGACATGGTCTCTGCCCTCATGAAGTACAGTCTAAGAGAGGGAGACAAATGTAATTGGTGCATGGACTGAAGTGCACTGGGACTCTGGCAGATAGCTCACCACTTCCTCCCTCACCCCGCAAAGACACGGACTCAGTGGCATCATGAAGGAGTGGGAGGAAAACGGGACCCAAATCAGAAGAACTGAGTTCTGAGCTGGTGCCACCATCTGAGGGACTTTGGAGAAGTTATTCAATTTGTTCATCTGTAAAGTGGGAATTACAATGCCTAACCTGCCTATCTTACAAGTTTTAGTGATATGCTTTATTAAATGAAATTCAATGCATGAAAACATTTTACAGGTTATAAAGTATTGTACAAGGAGTAGTTATAATTATATTCTTCTGCCTCCTAAGATGCCTAGCGTAAATCTGGGCACATAGTAGTTATTCAGTAAATACCAGTTAACTTAAATTGAATTGACTCATTCACCCCATTTACCACCTTCTGATAGTCCTTTGGGCTTTGGTGCCACTGTGAATCCTAGCACTAGCAATGCCTGCCCTGCTGCTGGTGGGTGGGGGGGGGGGGGGGGATGACTGTGAGGGCCAAGTGAGAAGGATGGAAAGTACCTTGGAAGCTACAATATTGAACTTCACTGACTTGGGAAACCACCTTGGCCCCCATCCTAGGCGGCTGGGCTGAGGACCAGGGGCCCTGACTGTGGGGCCGTAGGCACGGGGCAGCCTCCCTCCAAGCCCTAGGTTCATGCTTTTTGGGGAACAAACAATACACTTACCCCATTATGGGCTTCCAAAGTCCTGGGACTGTCTGGCCCAGGACAGTGCCTGTGACGTGGGCATGGTCTCTAGGGGGACCAGGCCACCATGTGCCCACTCCTCATTACCCCTTCACCTCTCATTTCAGCACCCCTACCCCACGGAGGATGAGAAGAGGCAGATTGCAGCCCAGACAAACCTCACCCTCCTGCAAGTAAATAACTGGTGAGTTAGCGTCACCTGCTCAGATGCTGTCAGAGCCAGGGGCCACTCACTTGGCCGGGGAATGCATAGCAGGGAAAAGAGGCTAGAACGCCCAGTCATGCCTCAGTCTCAGCGCAGCTGCCATGCCAATCCTGCCATTTGGGCTAGAAGCAGAAAGCCGGAATCAACGCTGGCGCCTATAGCTTCATCTGCAGCTTCTCAGCGCCCTCTGCTGGGAAATTGTGTCAGAAGCACCATGAGAAGCTTCTTGCTGAGTAGAAAACCCAGTACCACCTGCTCTGCAGAGACCCACAGGAACACCCGGTTCCAAGGATGGGAGGGGCCGCCATGGTCATCTGGTCTGCCTCCACCCAGGTGACCTGAGCATGAACTGAAACATTCTGCAAAGCTGGGAATGGGAAGGAGGAGGAAGAGTCGGCTGTCTGACCCCACAGGAGTCTCTGCTTCCCCCTTCTCTGTATCTGGCTGGGCTCTCATAGAAGTCTCAGAAAGCAAAGTCTGACTGGATGGGAGTGGATCCAAGAGTTGGGGCCCCTGATCTGAGCCCTTGGCTCTAGAGAGAAGTCAGAGGTTAGTGCCTTTGACTAAGGGGGCTCTTCCTTCCTCTATTCAGTCCTGACAGTCTCAAGCAGAGATTTCTGACCTTCCTCACCCATTTGTCCCAAGCTCTTCATGGTTATCAAGCCCCGGTGACTTCATGAGCTTCTCAGTGCCCAGGGCTGTGCTCCCAGCTGGGCTTTTACACCCTAGATCAGACCCCGGTCTATTTGGTACAGTGGATCAGCTGCCGGGAGGCTGGAAGCAGCTTAGCACTCTCTGCACACACACGTGCACACACATGCACGCGCGCACACACACCCCTACCACCACCCGGGGGGGGGGGCTGACTAACCAGGTCGCCACCTTTACCCCTGGGCAGGTTCATCAATGCCCGGAGACGTATCCTGCAGCCCATGCTTGATGCCAGCAACCCAGACCCTGCCCCTAAAGCCAAGAAGATCAAGTCACAGCACCGGCCCACCCAAAGATTCTGGCCCAACTCCATTGCCGCAGGGGTGCTGCAGCAGCAAGGTGGCGCCCCGGGGACGAACCCCGATGGTAAGGACTGGGGCTGAGTGCGCTCCAGCCTGGGGGCTGGCTGGTGGGGGGACCTCCCAGAGCTCCTTCAGGATAAGCGGTCCAAAGATTCAAGGGCTGAACTCACTCATCTGAGTGGCAGTGGCGGCTCTGTCACATTAGTTAGCCTCCCTGATCTCCATCAAAGGATGTGCATAGGCCTGAAAGAAGGGGTTTTTTTGCATATATGTTAACAAGCCAAAAGCTGTCTCACAAAGACGAGTGGGAGCTGGTGGTCAGCTGAGTCAATGACTGCTCAGCAGAGCCCCCCCTCACTCCCATACCCACCCGAAGTTCCTTCGTGCCAATCAGTGTCTGCACAGTTCCCCAAGAGCCAGGGCCATCTATAAATACTGAGGCAGGCAGCTGGCTTGTGAACGGAGGCCAGGAAGAGCTTTGTTTTCCCAGCGTCTCCATCACACCCTCCATATACACTTTTCTAATTGCCGGTCGCCTGGTGCACAATGAATAATTCAATGAGCCAGACATTTTATAGCTTGGCATGTGGAGATGGCTCTGTGTGGGAAGTGGAGTGGAGGTGTGCGTGTGTGCATGCATACCTTCAGGGATACGTGCATTTATATGGCTGCGTACAGGTTCCTGTGTGGGAGGCAATCGTCATATGGGGTACAGTGAGAGTCAATAGATTTTGAGCTGGACCAGCGTGGGATAGAATCCCAACTCTATCATGCCTGACTGTGTCACTGTAAGCTAATGACTTAAGTTTCTGAGACTCAGTTTCCTCCTCTTTAGAATAAGGATGACAATACCTACCTTACAGAATTCTTAGAAAGTCAAACGTGTTTCACGTGTATATATATAGGATTCTCAAGAGATGGTAACGAAGAGTGCTGCTCCTTGGGATGGGGCGGGAATGGCTGACAAGTGAGTGGACAGAGACTTATACCAGGGAATTGTCCAGCTTAGGAGCTCATCACCCCATTGACTCGGTCCACCACTGAGTTTCCTGGGCCTGACCCTTGCCTTCATCTCTCACGTAGGTTCCATCAACTTGGACAACCTGCAGTCCCTGTCCTCAGACAATGCCACCATGGCTATGCAGCAGGCTATGATGGCTGCACACGATGACTCATTGGATGGGACAGAAGAAGAGGATGAGGATGAGATGGAAGAGGAGGAGGAAGAGGAGCTGGAGGAGGAGGCTGACGAGTTGCAGACGACGAATGTCAGCGACCTGGGCTTGGAACACAGTGACTCCCTGGAGTAGACGGGCAGCCCAGATGGCACTGATCACCGAGCAGGAGAGGAGTGTCGTCAGGAGGGCTTCAGGGTTGGGGGGAAGGGGACGTGGGCAGGCAGCACCGAGGAAGTTGGGCCTTAGCTTCCCAAGATCAGTAGCTTGAAGAAACGCAGAGGAGACACCTGCTCCCTCCCGACCACCAAGCTTCGATGAGTACCCCAGCCCCACTTCCCTAGAACTGCGAGGACTCTGTCTGGCAGAGCCAGTCAAGCAGCCTGTACGGAAAGACAGGAGTGAGATCTGGACTCACCAAATCCCTGAGGACAGATGGCATCCACGGCCCTCCAACTGAGGGACTTGAGTTGTTTACAAGCCCTGCACTGTGAGGTGGATCAGTGCTGTTGGCAGAGTGAGCCTTTGCCAAGGGACAGAGTTAGGAGCAAAGGGAGAGACAAAGGGGTTTGGGTTTTACCCTCAGAAGGTTCTCAGCTCCTTTGAGAGACATTCGAGGGCAAGCGGGAGCCCAAAAGCATAGCCAGTGGCTGGAGGAGTGGGGGCACCTGGGCATCACATCTTGCAGATCCGAGGGGGGCCTGGATTCCCTCAGGCTCCGGCTCATCCTCCAAGGCTCCACTAGGGGTGGAGGCAGCCGTGGACTTGGGATGGGAGCCAGCAGAGCCGCCTCCTCTCTCCCCTGGAAACAAACGGTGAGCTGGTGGGCTCAGATTGCAAGAGGTTAAGAGGAGTCCCTTCACCTGGGTTGGCTCCAGGAGCCAAGGAGATGGCAGAACCCGGGCTAGGAGCCATATCAAGGTGACTTTGGGGACACAGCCGTCCTTCGGTGGTCACAGAATTTAGCTCCTGTAACAACAGGACAGTGGTGTCTTATCCCAAATGTCCCAGCCCTCAGATGGAGCCCCTCAGATATTCTACCCCCTCCATTGACCAGCAGAGAGGGTGGAACCAGGTTAGCTTGCAACCCGTCCACCCCTCAAGTCCCTCATGGCTGTCCCTCTGCTCCCAGGCTGGCTCCCTTGGCCTCCATCCTCTCTTCTTCATTCTTTGCTTCAGAGAAGGCAGAAGAAACATTGGAAAGAAGCATCCAGCCCAGTGGGAAGCCAGGGGCTGGAGAAGGTGCTACATCCCACCTCCCTTCAATATCCACAGTGTAGGGGAGGGCCCCGAGAAATGGCACCCAGGAGCCAAGTGGTGCCCCATCCCACGCGCCTCGCTGTTCTACACACCACCATCATACACAGCACAGGAGGAGCTGGGGCTCCCACGAGCAGCAGCTGTCCACCGTCTGCCCCAACACACACTCCCAGCCCAACTCCAGGCCCTCATGATTGGCGCTCCCTCCTCCCTTCCCTCCCACCCCATGGCTGTGAATGACAGGACTGATCACACGTGTGTTTTCCATTGGATTTAATTTAATGGACCTGCAGTTTCATTTGTAAATTGTGCATCGGCCATCTCCTTCAGTGGCAGGATGTGAGTGGCTGCCTGGCTCAACTTGAGGGGACCCTCAGGGCCCTCTGGGGCTTCCCCTCCTCTACCTGGTTGGGGTGGAGCAAAAGGATGGTCGCTTTCCTGAGGTCTCCCTGAAATGAATGTATTTCTCCCCCAAAAGAGCTGATATTTAATGTTTTAATAGGGATTTTTGAGAAACAAATAACCTTATTTATAATCTGGGTGATCCAATCATTTTTTACTCCCTTTTGATGCCATAGGTAGAGGAAAGTCGAGCTTTTTTGGCGTGAGACTTTTACAACGTGCAGTGGGATAAAATACATTTCCTTTTCTGGTTCATTTTTCTTGTTACACACACACACACACCCTTCCACTTACCACTTTGCACAGGCGTCCCACCCCAGCACAGGCACACCCGCACACACGTGCCCACGTGTCCTCCTCCCAGCCCCCTCCACCTGCCTAATGTTATGCAACCTCCTTCTGATGTATCCACCAAACCAGTACTGAATGTGGCCGAGTTTTCAGTAAATCTTATTACCTACCGTAATTCTGATGTGCCGTTCTCTCTTTCTGTGGTAAGTGGGACCCTGGACCAGAGAAAATTTGGAGGCCTCAGCTGACCCTGTGTTGAACTGACTACCTGTGGAAGGGACCAAGACAGAGAGCTTTCTGGGTGACCTCAGTTTCCCTCTGTGGGGAGGAAGATAGCCAAGTCTGGTACACTAACTGCGTGTCTGTTTTGCTCTAAGACAAAGGGAGGGAGAGGAAACAGGAGGAAGCTCTCTACTGCCCTCTCCTGACAATTTTCCTCCATAGCCGTGGAGAGGTCTGAACTTAGTGCCCCCTCTTCCACCATCCTCCCTCAAAGGCCTTTGCTTTCCCGTCTCCATCCTAGGCTCTGAGAGTTTTCATCTCTGGAGCTGGTGCTGCCACTGCCCCTCCCCCAGCCCTCAGGGGAAAAGTCCCAGGAATGGGGAAGGAGAGGAAGTCTTGACTGCCCAATTTAATCCTGGAGCTGTGTCCAGAGGGGAGACTGCCCTTTGAACTCAGGGTTCAGCACTGTATTCCCTGGGGCAAGAAGAAATGTAGGGGCAGCTTATCTCCACCAGGAAGTGAGAGGGAGGCATTCCTGCTATCTCAGCCTGGAGGTCTCCTTATCCGGGCATTGCTGTGGGATGATCACCGCGGAAAAGCAGGAGTTCCCCGTTCACACTCACACAGGCTGGAGAGCTTGCACCTGCCGGTGGACACCCTGGCGCCAGGCTGAAGATGGAGGAGGCGGCGGGTTACACAGGCAGAATGGGCCTCCATGCAGCTCTGACGGCGGTTCCCTGGGTCACTGCTGTCCCGGAGCCCAGCCCACCTGTTACACCTGAGAGTCCTGCAAACACAGCCGAGACCTTGCCTCTAGGCAGTGGAGACGGTCTCTAGATCCAAAGATGATACCTAGAACATCACCTCCCAGGGCCAGGAAGACGGCAGACTCTCAAAGCGCTGTTTTCCAGGGAACACTGTTAAAAGATATGCTACCCCAAAAACTCAAGGTCACATTAGTCTAGGATGAACTGCGTATTATATTTTGCTAGTGGAGTTTCATAAGGCTCGTTAGTATATTAAAGTCCCTGAAAAGTCCCGCAGGAAAGAAACCTGTTTGTTTAACCTGTTTCCCAAATGTACTTGCCTTTTTTTTTCAAGTGATATCTATTCAATCACAGTAGTATTCCACAAAACACACTTGAGGAACACTGTTCTAAGAAATTACAGAGTAGCCGGTCCCAGCCTCTCCCACCCCTTCCTAAGTTTTTCTTTCAAGTTCCGCCATCTTTTCAACCACAAGGCCAAGTACCAAGGGGTTTCCTAAATCATTTGAGACGTGGGTGGTTGTGTTTTGAGGAGGCAGCAACCTCTCTCTGTGCCTGACTCAAATCCTATTCACCCCAAGGAGAAGGCGTACAATACTCCCTTGGAAATAAGAGAGAGGGGACAGTGCCAGGTGGGTGTGGAGGAGATGTCCTTTACCACCAAATGGTGCTCTGGTATCAGCGCCCTGGGAACTGTTCAGACTGACCTTTCACCCCAGTGTCTCTCCCACCAGGGAAGACCTTTCAGGTTTGAAGATTCCTGCTCACGGAAGTGGAGGGCCAGAGCTAAACCTCCTGGACCAAGGAGCTTCTCTGCTGCCTTGGACATGGCAGATGAGGGCACTGACTCTGCGACCCTGCAGCCTGCTTGGACTCATTCATTCATTCAACGTGTCTTTATTAGCACAGACTCTCTCCCAGGCAGTTTTAGCCACGGAGGATGCAGCTGTGATCAACAAAGTTCTCGTTTTCAGGGAGTTTACGTTTTAACAGAGGACTGAGGCTGAAAATGTGCTCACGGTGTCCCCGTAATGGTTAAAATTGATCTCATCCTAGGACAGTGACCTCAAACTTCATCACCCAGAGTCACAAACAGGCGGCGCTCAGGTCAAAGGCGGGTTCAGGTCAAATTCAGCTCGCAGACGCGTTTTTTTTGGACTATATATTGTTTTTTTTTAAATTTTGGGACCAAAAATTAAGTTGAAGATTGCACATAAAAATTCAGATTCTTGGTTTCTCTTGAAAAATTGGAAAGTTAAGCAACTCGGGACTATTATTCCCACGCAGCCACAATGGGGTGGAGTTGAATTTCTGCTGCCCCTTCCGATGTGGTCCCCAGGTTGTCAAGATGTTGCCTTGGGGGTTCCCCAGCGCCGATGCTGAGGGTCATTCCAGTTCTTATCAGGCCATCCCTGTTTGGTTGGCTCATTGGTTAACTAACCAATGTTTCCTCCCTCCCTTTTCTCCTTTTCCTTTTTTTGCCTTTCCCTCCAATATTGGAGTGGTTGTATTTAAAAAGGAAAATATTTCTCCATATCTATTGCTCTATCAGAAGTGAGAACACAAGATAGTCCCAGACAGCTCTGCCTTTGAAAATGCTAGTTGGACTGGCCAGCCCTGTGGCGCAGCGGTTAAGTTCGCACGTTCCGCTTCTCGGCGGCCCGGGTTCGCCAGTTCAGATCCCGGGTGCGGCCATGGCACCACTTGGCAAAAAGCCATGCTGTGGTAGGCGTCCCACATATACAGTAGAGGAAGATGGGCACGGATGTTAGCTCAGGGCCAGTCTTCCTCAGCAAAAAGAGGAGGATTGGCAGTAGTTAGCTTAGGGCTAATCTTCCTCAAAAAAAAAAAAAGACTCTAAAAAGAAAATGAAAGTTGGAGAGAACATTTGTGTTTGCGCAAGTGAAGATACTCCTACCTTCAACGGCACAGTGTACCCGTGCCTGACCTCCAGACATCCTCACTCCTATGTCACCTGGCCACCTGGCCTCTAGAGGCCATCATGAGCCTTGTGGCATGAAAGCCACCTGGGTGGCTTGTTTTATATACAGTTAGTCCCACAACTAGCTTTTCCCCAGATTCCAAAGCAAGATGCCTGAAGATTTTGAGAAACGTTGCTCCCAGGAAATAGTTCTCAGTTGCCCTTTAGAAGTTCCTTGTTTGGGTGCAGCCCAGTGGTGTAGTGGTTAAGTTGCCGCACTCCACTTCAGTGGTCCCGGGTCGGCCAGTTCCAACCCAGGGTGCAGACCTACACACTGCTCATCAAGCCATGCTGTGGTGGCATCCCACATAGAAGAACTAGAAGGACTTACAACTATGTACTGGGGCTTTAAAAAAAAAAAAGATGTTCCTTGTTTCATAGTTGCTCCCTTTGACTTCCTTTTGCTGTACAGACTACACCCTGCTGAGCCAGTTATTCAGTCAGGAGCACTCACAGGAGCCTACTATGTGCCTGGCATCATATGGGGGACAGAGATAATTCAACTTTGCAGAGCGTCACAGGCCAAGGGATCACCCAGGACTGGCAGAGAAAAAGCCGATCGCATCAAGCTCTGCATTCCCACTTCTGCATCTTCTTTCCAGCCCACAGAGGAGGCAGATTTTATTACACCACTTTTGAGTGTATTTATCTTATACTTGTATATTTCTCAGCCTCTCTCTGGGCCAATCTCATTTAGTCCCTTTGCAAATTAAATGCATCTCATTAAACCAAATCCATTTAGGACAATGCCCTTCAGGTGTGTGCATCTTAGAACATCTTTCATTTTAAGACAAGTATTTGATTTATTTTTCATCTCATTACACTCTTTAAAATTATGTGCATCTCATTACACTCAGTGCACTGAGACGACTTATTTCAGGTGTAGACATTACACCCAGTATTATCAGGCAAGAATATTTTTTTCATTTCATTACAAGCCTTACAATTTATGTACATCTCATTACAATCAGCCATTTAAGACAATTCCCTCCAGTTGTGTATATCTCATTATAGCTTTTCATTTTTCATCTTATTACACCCAAGCATTATTCAGAGAACTCACTTCAGGTGTGCATATCTCACATCCACCTGTTAGTTTGTGAATTTCTGGGTGGTTGTTTTCCCCCTAGTATTGCAAAATTTTTCTTATATCAAACTCATTTAAGGCCCTCTCTGCTCACCTGTGGGCCTCCCATGCTCCTTTTCAGGGAAAGGAAGAATACTGGGTTCCCCTGGATTTGGCCAAGACTCTGCCAATAGCTTCCCCTTACCCACAGGGAGCATCTAAATTAACTTCTTCACTTGCACATTCAGGGGCCAGAGGAGACGGTCGCGAAGTTCCCTCTCAGTTGATAGTCTATGAAACTCTAGTCCTGTGGACCACAGCACAACAGGCTCCCCAGCTTCTCCTGGGGATGCTGCTTCTTGCTCTGGACAGCCCCACCCTGCTGGAGAAACTGAGATTGACATCACTGCCCAGGCTTCCAACAGCTAAACCGCTTCACGCTTCTTGCCGCCCTTTAGACTGGACATGGCTGTGGATCCACGCGGGGCCACATTTTAAAGGAGAGGAAATAACTTTGCTCTCTTGTGATGGAATCCCCACAGCACCTCCAGGACAGTGGCATCCTCATCTCTCCCCAGCCCCTAGCCTAGGAGTTTTCAGCTGGGCGCACCTTAGAATTGCTGAGCAGGCTTTCAGAGTTCCATTCTTGATCTACTAAATTGGAATCTCCAAGGGTGAGGCCAAGGTAGGTGCACTTTTAATAGACCTCCAGAGGTTCTGAACCACTCACTACCTCACCCAAGCCTGATTTCAGAAAAGGATCTGCAGCGCAGCTGCTTGGAGCTGAAAATGCCTCGTTGCTCTCAGTATTGCCCCTCCCAGCTGTTTGCCAGTCCCTTGGAGTAGTGGTTGGGTTCCACGTGCTCCACTTCTACAGCCCAGGTTCTCGGGTTCAGATCCCAGGTGCCAACCTGCACCACTCATCAGCCACACTGTGGCAGCAACCCACTTACAAAATAGAGGAGGATTGGCATAGATGTTAGTTCAGGGCAAATCTTCCTCAACAGGAAAGAAAAAAAAGAAAGAAAAAGAAAATTCAAACCTAGAGTGAAAATGTCGTTTCTCAGTCTTGGAAAGGGCACTAAGGGTCAGCAAGCCCAATTTGGCCACCCCACATAGGAACCCCACCCATAGCACAC